ATGAACAGGGACACACAAGCGCGCACATATAGGTAAGATTTCTGAATTCGGATCCTCTAGAGTAACTCTCTAGAGTGATCTCCTAAAGTGGATGATCGGACGGTTCAGAATAATCCTCACCAAAACGACGTCGTTTTGTTTGCTGCAAAACAGTAATGCACATTTTCAACAAGTACTAATATAGTTGCTCTTACAATTTCTTGTAAATGCTTATTGCTTTATGTATAAATAATTGAAGAAGCTTTTTATTCTTTTTTCTTTTTTCTTTTTTCTTTTTTCAATTTTCTTTTCCTTCTCCCTCCCTCTACAAACCCAATATCCTAAGTATTGTTCCACACCCAAACATAAAATAAAATTAAAGATGAAAACAAGTAAAAGTAATGGACAGATTACACATTGCAAAATCCTATTGCTTTCAACACTAACAAAATTACACTTAGGAAGAATAATAGGTAAAACAACTTGAGAGATAAAAAAATTGGAAGAACGTCATCTTCTACTAATCAGTAGTTGAATCTGTTGGTATTTTTTATGCAGATAAACAAATGGCTTCATCTTCTACTAATAATACGAACTTTACATTCAAGCCAAGGTTTTGTAATTGTGGAAGCATAGCTGTCCTGCGTATTGTACGAACCAATGCAAATGGAAATAAAGGACGTGCCTATTTTGTTTGCCCAAGAAAATATGTAAGTACCTGTTATATAAATGAATCTGTTACTTTTTACAAATTTCGTTTGTTCTTTATTGATTAACTAATTCTTGTCCATTGTAGTTTACGAACAACCACTGCAATTACTTCAGGTGGTTCACAGATGATGACGATGACAACGACGACGACATTACCGCATCAACTTCAACCAATGCTGGACCTCGAACAGATTCAACAACAGAAGAAATTAATGATCTACGGACAAGGGTTGGTGAGCATGATAGAAGGCTTCAAAGGATGGAGAAGATGTTCAAGGCAATGACTTATGTCATTGTATTTTGTGTATTTTTGTACTTTATCATGTAAATGACTTAATGTAATCTACTTTGTGTATTTTGTGTATTCAAGAACAGTGTACTTTTGTATTTTAGGTTTTCGAACATGCTATGAATCTGATGGCTAGCAAATCTACTTTTCTAATCTACTTTTCTTCTTGTTTTGTAATTTTTTTTTGGTGCTTAAAAATCTGATGGCTTGCAAAAACAAGTGTATAACAGGTTTGAATGAGATGAAATCTGTTGAATTTTTGGTTCGACTTTTCTATTGAGTTATGTTGGTTGCTTATATGTGATGGTTTGAAAAAAACAGGTATATTGATTAACTATGTTTTGAATGAACGGGTGTATTATATGTGTGTATAACAGGTTTCCAAATTGATGTATGCTGCGAAATTGATGTATGCTGCCAAATATGTTTAATTGATGTATGCTGCCAAAAATTTCATCAAGAACAGGTTCAAGGTGTATTTGTAATGGATAGGTTCAATGTGTTCAATGAACAGGTTCAAGGTGTTTGCTGCCAAATTGATGTATGCTGCCAAATATGTTTAATTGATGTATGCTGCCAAATATTTCATCAAGAACAGGTTGAAGGTGTATTTGTAATGGACAGGTTCAATGTGTTCCATGAACAGGTTCAAGGTGTTTGCTGCCAAATTGATGTATGCTGCCAAATACTTATAATTGATGTATGCTGCCAAATACTTAAAAAAAAGAAAAAGAAAAAGAAAAGCACATTGAACAATAAAGGGAAAAGTTCAAGATTGCAGCATGGTAAGGCTTCGACATTCCCAGGAGTATACCAATATACTTTAATCTTGGAATTTGCAACGATGGGTAAGATCAAAGCTTCCAATTATAATCAACTTATATCACCTTCTTGAAAATCAATGTAAAATAAAATTTTAGCAGATGAAAATTTGATACCAGATATATAAATTAATGAAGGAAGCCTGCCAAATTAACAATTTTACACTCCAGCTAGAACAACACTTATTAAATCCTTTCAAGGAGCTCTAAATACAAAACTACTTAATGAGCTCTAAATACAAAACTGCAAAATTTTGTTAACCGTCCTTGACCATTCAGATGTAAAAGTAGTGTAACAATGCAGGATCAAGGGATGAGAACCTAAAAAACACAGAAATTTCTAAGGTGTTATGTCTATGTCTAGGAATTTTCTCGAGTATTACTCATGGAGTGCTTCCACAGGTTGGTTCGTCTTGTTCATGTACACAGTAATCCAAAGCTTGCAAGGAATTCAACCATGAACAAGAAATGCTTTCAACTATTCAATAATGTGAAAGATGCACCAACTTATTTTAACCACTTCATGCTACTACTAATTTCTTGAATTAAAACAAGTTGATTATTTACTTATGCTTGTCATATCATTCATACACCAATGTCAAGGTCTCACTGTCCTTTTGAGTCTAATATGAGAATCAAATGAAGTACACATAAAAAAGACATCAAATGGGGGTCAACCAGCTAAATTATGCAGTAAGATAATAGTTTAAGCAACTTTACAGACTGAACAATACAATTCGATGTCATGGAAAACATAAGGCCAAGTATCGGCTAACATTGAAAACTTTTAATATCATGCATCTATCATTTCCAATGCTGACGACGACGACATTACTTCAAGGCTTGGTGAGCATGATAGAAGGCTTCAAAGGATTGAGAACATCTTGAAGGCAGTGACTTATGTCATTGTATTTTGTGTGTTTTTGTACTTTTTCATGTAAATGACTCAGTTCTTAGGTTTTCGAACATCCTATGAATGTAATCTACTTTTGTACTTGTTTTGTAAATTTTTTTTTGTGCTTCAAATTCTGAAGGTTTGCAAAAACAAGTGTGTAACAGGTTTATTTGAGATGAAATGTTGAATGAACAGTTTGTTAAATCTATTGAATTATGTTGGTTGCTTAACAATGTGTATTATATGTGATGGTTTGGAAATGTTGAATGTTATATAACAGAATGTTGCATGTTGAACTGTTGAAAATGTTGAATGTTGTATAACAGGTTTCTGAAATCTATTGATGTATGCTGCTAAATATTTCATCAAGAACAGGTTCAAGGTGTATTTGTAATGGACAAGTTCAAGGTGTTTGCTGCCAAATTGATGTATGCTGCCAAATATGTTTAATTGATGTATGCTGCCAAATATTTCATCAAGAACAGGTTCAAGGTGTATTGTAATGGACAGGTTCAATGTGTTCCATGAACAGGTTCAAGGTGTTTGATGCAACGATGGGTAAGATCAAAGCTTCCAATTATAATCAACTTATATCACCTTCTTGAAAATTAATGTAAAATACAATTTTAGCAGATGAAAATTTGATACCAGATATATAAATTAGTGAAGCAAGCCTGCCAAATTAACAATTTTACACTCCAGCTAGAACAACACTTATTAAATCCTTTCAAGCAGCTCTAAATACAAAACTGTCCTTTTGAGTCTAATATGAGAATCAAATGAAGTACACATAAAAAAGACATCAAATGGGGGTCAGCCACCTAAATTATGCAGTAAGATAATAGTTTAAGCAACTTTACAGACTGAACAATACAATTCGATGTCATGGAAAACATATGGCCAAGTATCGGCTAACATTGAAAACTTTTAATATCATGCATCTATCATTTCTTCATAATTAAGAAAGGCAGCAATTGTTATCTGAAAATCTATCATACAACATGAAACTATTGCATAGCAGCATGATGTAAGCATTTTCAATTATGAAGAGCTCCTAAGTCTAGGCACTTGCACATTAAACTTCAGCATATAAAAATAAATGATGGGAGCTGACAGCAACAAGAATGTACATCCATTAACAACAATGAGTGACAGCAACAAAATCCAGCAACAAAATCCAGCAGAAGAACCTTTTTACACCTTGAATATACATCCATCAACAACAATAAGTGACAGCAACAAGAACCCCAGCAGATAGACTGCCCACAGCAGAAGAACAGAAAATTTGAACATTTCAACAAAAAACTTTGAACATTTCAACAGAAAATTTGAACATTTCAACAGAAAATTTTGAACATTTCAGCAGAAGAACCCAAGGAATGCTGCCAGCAGGAACATTTGAACATTTGAACAGAAAATTTCAACATTTCAACATTTCAAAAATTAATCAAAATTTCAACATTTCAACATTAGTTTCAGCAACATTTACTGAGTAATTTGAACAGAAAATTTTTAGCAACAGTTTGATGAAAGGTTTTGAATATTACATATCCAACAAAAAATTCACACAAATTCCCAAAACAAAATAACGCTAAGACGTTGGCGTGTGATCCACATCCCCATGCCCACGGCCGCGCCCACGACCATATAGTACCTACAAAAAAAAAAATATATATTACATCAAAGGAACCATAAAATAAAATGGAACTTTAAATGAATGAATGACAAAATAAAAGAGAAAAGGTGAAAAAAAAATTACTTCACTACATGCGGGACTATTTGAAGCTTGCGAGTGATAACTACGTGCATTGTTAAGCAATGCTTGATAGGTTCCATGGCCGGAATACATCGATGGCATTGAAAAATGCATATTGTGATGAAGAAAACTTGGCTGCAACAATAACAAACACATATCAATCTAAAATGATAATAGTCAGCTACAAATTCGTACTAAAACTTTTTATTAAACTAACTTACATCATAGGCGGAATACATAAATTGAGACGAAGAAGCTCTAACTTGAGGAACACTCGGCGAGAATGGAGGAAGTTGAGGAACACTTGAAAATAAAGGTGCAGACTGAGGAATTAAGGGAGGTGCTTCAGGTGCACTTGCCGAAAATAAGGGAGGAGTTTGAGGAGTAACAGATAGGGAAGTTTGAGAAGCATTATGTGAACTTGTTTTATTTTTCTTTGCCAACGCAAGCTCCAAACCACCTTTTGTCCGCCTTCGTCCCTTGCTAGTGCACTCTTTTCTCTTTAGTCCTTTTGCTTGGACTACATTTTTATCCGCTACACCATCCACTTCAAAGCTTTCGGGGCTTGTGTTGGGGGGGGCTTTCTTGTTGAATAGTATCTGAACAAGGCATATTGAATTTTGCGCTTAACATGGTTTCAATGCCTGCAATTAATTCATCCGCTTTCTCGACCGTCAAATTATATGTTTCCTCACTTTCAGAAACTATACACGCTACTGATCTGAATATTGCCATCAATGACCTATAACGTGAAGTTTGATGCAATCTTACATCAACCTGAATATCATGCCCACACCTATCTTTCACATTTTCAGATCTTGCTTTTTTAGTCCATATCTTCAGAATATACTGTGAAGGAATCTCTTTCAATTTCAGTCTTTCTCTAAGGATCTTCAAACAATGACTACACAAAATGCCCTTCATTTCAAACTTCCTACAATTGCAAGTGACCGAATCATCACACCCCTGCCTCACCTTCCTCACCTTTATACCATCACTATCAAGAACTGTGTAAATGGTACTCTCACCATCATTTTCAATTTCTTCAATGTTGACTTCAAGGGACTTGACATACTCATCCTGAAATTCTTCAAAAATTTTATTTGTGTAAACATCTGCAGCTTGCTCCATAATCTTCACTTTAATATTCACCCTGGGCAACTTTTGGCATAGAGCATATTCGGCTTGTAACTCCTTGTACCTTTTCTCAGATAGAACTTGATCAAAATGTGTGAAAAATTGCATTAAGTTATGATCAGACTGAATGAAATCCTTCAAGAAAGCATTAAAGGATTCACTAAGTTGGGTGCTACTCATGCCCGCACCCCATGCATTTCTAACATATGGCCAACCCCATTTTTCCTTGACCCCAAATGTTAACTTCAACCAATGATTATCTGTTACTTCATACTTGTCAAGCATTTCCTCCCATTTTAACATAAACTCTTCCTCATCCTCAATGTCGTACATAAACGTGTATAAAACACTCTTCATCCCCTTATCCTTCATCGACTTATCCTTGAAGATAGAATTTGCATGCCTTAATGCATTTTGCATCAAATACCAAGTGCAAAGGCGGTGGGTTGTGTTAGGCATGACAATAGGTATGGCCTTAGCCATTGCAGCATCCTGATCCGTAAAAATTGTTTTTGGAGCCTTACTTGACATTGCCTCCAAGAATCTTCTAAAAAGCCATACGAAAGAAATCGGCGTCTCATCATACATCAAAGCTGCACCAAATACCACAGTTTCCCTATGATGTTCAATCCAACAAAAAGACGCAAAGGTCTATGTGCACTATTTAACTTGTAAGTAGTGTCAAAAGTGACAACATCACCAAATTGCCATAATCCATGATCATCTGAGCATCGGCCCAAAAAATGTTCGTAATCTGCTCCTCGTTATCTAATTGGACGGAGTAAAAAAAAGATGGATTCTCCAATGATTTGTCACGAAAATATTGCAAAATGCTACCTGCCTCCCCATATGCTAAACTGTTTTGCCTCTTCGTTCTCAAATAATTTTTTTTGGTCAAGTTTTGTAAACCCAAGCGACTCCCTTCCACCAACTTCATTACCCATGAGCTTAAATGCAGCATTAAGACGGATTCCAGATTTTTCGGCTAATCTATTTCGGTTGCCTGTGATGAAGATATCTTCCTTTGGGATGGTAACATATGCGTACATTCTGTTGGTACGAAGAATGATTATGTTTGTTCAAGAAAATCACTAACAAAAATTTTCTGAATATTCCTATCCCACTTAATGAAAAGTCGGGCTTGACAACCAGTCCTCACTTCCTGCCTAGGATTTTTTGTTAATGGATCTCGCTTGTCGACAACCCCGAAATCCTTCCTTATTACAGACAAATTGCCTTGAAGTGATTTGCCCGTCTTTGCTCTTGTTTATATAACCCCTTCTAATACTAAAGCCCAACCTTCCTCCATAAGTATTATAGAAATATATGCTTCTTGTTCTGTATCAAATGTCATGCGAACTCTAGGCTTCCAATCACACTCACCCCCCTCATTCTCATGATTGTTAGGTTCCATATCAAACAAGGAACTGTAAAAGAAAAATTAGGGTATGAAATAATTATTTTTGAAAGCAAGTATTTTTTCAAAATAATTTGAAGCATCCAATTCTAACCATATTGGTCCGTACTGGATACCTACATGTGCGCACACACACATTACAATCAACCAGATACCTACTTCCAGTAAACATCTAATGTGACACCGTAAATGATAAGCACAAAATCATACTTCAATTAATTCAATAATAATGAAGCAGCAGAGAATCGAATTCAAATATATATATATATATAATATATATATATATATATGTGTTACCTAAACTATGTATGTTGCTTCAGCAATAAACAGTGCTGCATACTCTTGGTGGATTCATTTGTGACTTACAGTTTAAATTCTACTAGTGGATTCAATTTTAACTTACAGTTTAAATTCTTTTGTAGTTTGGTTCCTTTTTTTTTTTTTTTTTTTTTTATAAGTACTTCACTAATACTTTCAATAAAATTTGACTCTGGCTCTTATTAAAATAAGTTTGAGAGTTCAGTTGTGTTTGTTTTGGGCTTCAGTTTATCCACATACTAATCATTCTTTCAGGGTTCAATTATTAATTTTGGTAGATATTTATTACAATTAAAAATATATTACCATCTTCAACTTCAGATACTAAAATTGCTGTCGCTCAATCTGTAAATTTCTGATTCGTGTATTCAGAAATTTCTGAATTTTAAAATTTGTGGGTTTGGTCTCTTCTAAAACATGAATCTGTAAATTTCTGATTCGTGTAAATTTCTGATTCAGACTAAAATTTAGAGCTTCATACATGAATCTGTGGGTTTGGTCTCTTCTAAAACATGAATCTGTAAATTTAAAAACAATGCTTGTTCATGTATGTATAAGAGAAACTTCGATTCAGACACAAACCCACAGATTCAGAAACTTCGATTCAGCAGAGACCAAAAAAAACAAAATCGAACTATACCTATATACGTTTCAATCGGTTGGAGCAGAGCAGGGGATCGACACGACGACGGGGATGCAGGTATCGGCCTCAAACAAACTCTTCTTCGCTCTCGTTTCGCTCGCTTCTTCCCGACATCGTTTTGGTGAGGAGTATTCTGAGCCGTCCGATCCGCTCACTTTAGGAGATCACTCTAGAGGGTTACTCTAGAGGATCCGCTCGCAAGATTTCTTTAAGTTGGTACTCCAATTTATTTATTTATTTCTATATATTTTTTTAATCTCAAGTTGGTACTCCAATTTGAGACAGCATTTTGAGCATGATGGGTTGATTTTAAAGTTGACCTCGATTATTTAAATTATGGAATATTTATGCGTATGTCTTAATAAATAAATTTTTTGTTTAATAAGTCTTATAAAAAAAATTTGTCATAAAAAAATGTCACTAATTGTAAGTTTTAGAGACAATTTTTAAAAATCATGACAGAAAAAGTCACTAATTGTCAATTTTTAGCAACATATAAAAAAAATTATTACAAAAAAATTATTTTTAACGATAATTTTACCGAGACTTGTTTTCAATAGGACTTGATGGAAATTAAATCTAATTATAATGACCTATTAATAATTTACTCTTAAATAATTATTTAATTTTTAAGATTTATTAAATAAAATATTTATATAAAAAAGTCAATATGACCCGATATTAATTAATAACGGTGAGTTACAACTCTTAATGACCCATTACGTATTTTAATGGTTATTTATTTATTTATTTATTTATTTATTTATTTATCTTAATGTTACATATTTTTCTAAATTTGTTATGAAAATTTGTGGTTCTATTACACCATAACTATTGATTTTTTTTAAAGATAGAATGCACATGTTACGTGAAGATCTAGTTTGTTATATATGCTTATAGTGATTCTGACATTTGATGATCCGTTATGTATTGTAATATTTTTTCTAATAATTTTTGAGAAATGTTTGAGACTCTTTTTTTGGGAGTTTTATGACCCTAATTTGATCTTGGTCCTTGATGATGTGTGGGATCCACTCATATATGTGTGGGCTCCACGTTATGAGTGGTTAAGATGAGAGTAGGGGTTGTGGGGGTAGGAGTTTCTATCACAATTGTAATTTTTTACGTTTATAGATAGGAAAATGAGTTGGACCCCCTCAAAGAAGCATCCTCTTTAACCCCCTATCTCTCTGATTGGCCAGTTTTTCTTTTTTCTTTTTCTTTTTTCCTTTTCCTCCAATCACCACCCGCCACGTGTGTGTGGGGTGGTGGGAGTGGTGATTGAAGGGGTCTCAATCACTTCCCATATAGATATTTATAGTAACATTATATATTTTTATGGATTTGTTTCCAAATTATGTGGTTCTATTACACCATAGCTAGTTGTTTTTTGAGATAAAATACACAGATTATGTTAAAGTGTAGGTCATTATGTATGTTTATAATGAGTTACGACATGTAATGATTTATTACATTATTTAATGTTGGAACAATTTTTTGTGTAAATAAAATAAACAGAAATTAATTCAAACAAAATAAATAAATAATATATCGAATTTATTTATCGAACCGACCAAGTCGAGTGTGTGACACTTTGTCCTTAAGACAGATTTGCCCCGCTACGGTGCTTACGGTTGAGTGGCATCTATCTCCCAGGATACAATAATCTTCACAAAATTGTTGTAGCACACCAAACAAATTTGTACGGCGAACCAAACCTTGTGTTCTATACTCTCTTTGATTTTTCCTAAAACTAGAAGGAAGAAAAATGCACACAATAAAATTTGGATAGCAATGAGACAATTTCAGACTGAATTTCGGGATCCTTAGACTACTGGAATATGTCTCTACTTATAGACAAACACTGCTGTCCGAACATGTTCCAATTTTGAATGAACAGGTGAGATTCAAATGAACAGGTACAAACTGTTCAAACAGTTTCTGCCGTTGCACATGAAATAGTTTTTCCTTCCAAACAATTTGAAAAACAAGTAGCTGTTGGTGGACAAAGTTCTACACTGTTGGAATAAATTTTATTAAACTATTTGAATAGTTTAATCACAACAAAAAACCTTCACTGTTTGGAATAATTATATTAAACTATTTGAATAGTTTAATCATTTTTTAGGAAACCACTTTAGGAAACTAAAAAATAAATTTATATTTAAATAAAATTCCCACAATAATTTTTATTGAAAAAATTCAAATGGACTTTGTCTAAAAAATTAATGTTAAACTCGAAAACGACGTCAACTTCCCATTCACCCATAAATGGTTTTGACGTTCTGTCATCACCATGTGACTTGCCACACGGCAAGGAACACGTCACCTCTTTGGAGCCACCCCAAAAGACGTTTGGGGCTCACTTAATTTTGGCCCAAAATAAGCCAAATAAAACACAATTTTTTCCAACAATCCCCCACATGAATGGAATTTGACGGAGAGAAAATGTAACAACATGATCTAATTACAGAGAGTACAAAATTTGGAAATATTTTGTAAAGGATAGGTAGCTTTTGGCTTTGAACCTTCCCTTGTACGACACTATCGGATTTACTAGCTAACCAGTGAACATGATGTCTTGAACTGTTCAACCGTTTGTGTAAAACCAAGACAATAGAACTCACATAGTATATCCCCAGACACAGTTTGGTTTTCACTATTGTGTTCATTTTGGCCCTGAACAACCTGGTCTTTTATGAGTGCTTTAGAGAATTGTAGCCCTTCACAAATCTCATAGAACCGGCCCACTTCACACTCACATAGGTGATTCTTATGAAAAGTATCCTGCTATATTCCACTAGGTTTACCTAGATATAAGAATCATTAAAAGTTTTACTTAACCTAAAACGCTACAGACATCACTATTTCATCATAGAAATGGGTAGGAGTTAGACTCCCTAGTGATCCTTCTGAGTTATACACAACTCGGTTGTCCCTTTGAACCTAAATCTTGGGATCTCCAGTCAACTAGGTTGGGTTGCCGTTGTGGTAACTCTTATTTAATAGGCTTTAGTTCCATTCCCCTCGATGAATTCTCAGCTAACTCTCTTGCTAACTCTTTGGTTAGTGGATCCGCTATGTTGTCTTTAGACTTAACATATTCTATGAAAATAATTCCATTAGAGAGCAATTGTCTTGCGATGTTATGTCGACGATGAATGTGTCGTGACTTACCGTTATACATATGACTTTGTGCTCTGCCTATAGTTGATTGACTATCACAATGTATGCATATAGCAGGCACCGGTTTTGGCCATATAGGAATATCTTCAAGGAAGTGGCAAAGCCATTCTGCCTCTTCCCCTGCTTTGTCTAAAGTTATGAATTCTGATTCCATAGTAGACCTAGCAATGCAAGTCTGTTTGGAAGATTTCCAAGATACAGCCGCCTCACCAAGAGTAAAGACATACCCACTGGTGGACTTTGAGTCTCCTGTATCTGATATCCAATTTGCATCACAGTATCCTTCAAGTACTGCTGGATATCTAGTATAATTCAGCCCAATATTACGAGTAAATCGGAGATACCTTAGAACCCTTATAATAGCTTTTCAGTGTTCTACTCCCGGATTACTTGTATATCTACTTAATTTACCTACTGCATAAGCTATATTCGGGCGAGTGCAGTTCATCAAGTACATTAAGTTTCCAATAATTTGGGCATACTCT